GGGGGGGGGGGGGGGGGGGCACTTGGTGGGGCGCCCCGCACACAACACCCCCGCACCTGTTGAAACAACATGGCAACTTGCATTGTGTCTTGATGCGGCCAACATCGCACGCAGCAGGTTTCAAGTCTTGCGCCTCAGCTAAGCTGCCACCAGGACAGTTCGAAGCTGCTCGTAGATGTCCCAGCTGTTGCTCATGCAGGGAAGTTCTGGAGCGCAATGAATCGAAGTACAAAAACAAGGGTGTATCTGTATGTGGCGTGCGCAGTGTAATGCAGAAGAGAACTATGGTCTTGTAGGTTTCAAGCTTCAGTCTGTTTGTATGTATGTATGTATGTATGTATGTTTGTTTGTTTGTTTGTTTGTATGTTTGTTTGTATGTACGTATGTATAATGTGTGTACGTGTATATATCTATAAAGCATGACAGAAAGACCACGGTGCATGTGCTATCGTAACTGAATCCCAATGCCGGGCTCGGAGGCACCTCGGCGAATGAAGCTGCAGGCGGATCCAGGGTCGAGGGATGGTTGGAACGTCCTTGTTTTAGCCTTTATTATTCATTTCATTGCCATGACTACTATTGTCATTGTCATTTATTATTATTATTATTAATATTAGTACTCTTATCAGTTTTATTCTGGGCCAGTACCGTTTCCCAATCAGACCAGATTTTACTAGTCACTGTCAGTTCTCGCTTGAAGTTGTGTGCTGTCATTTTCAGTATGCTTAACTGCTGCAATTCGTCCCTACTGCTTCTCGTACGCCGTGGTGGGGCACTCACGTGTCATCAGCTATCTGTAGGAACAACGTTCATTATCGGGCGATGTGACTATCACTATCGGTTCGTCCAGGCCAAACTCCCTAAGTCTGCGAGATGGGTGCTGTTATTGCTGCTGGATGGGTGTAGAGACTGACAGTCGTAGTCACTCATCGCTTTGAGGTTCTCAGCTCTCACTGCATGTGCTGAGTGCATCTGAACAGGAACGACCACCAGCGCTGCACAGTCGGCAGGTGTCTCGTCGCTGGAGAGTCACTGGGGTTTGGCATTCTGCAGCGAAGCCTTCCAGCTTCGCAGCAATTCAGGCGCTCTGCCTGGAGCTGACAGCTCTGGGGCTGACAGCTGCCCTTTGGAAGGACCGGGAAGATTTCGAGATCTTAGAATTCGTATGTGATTATGAAGCGTTGCAAGGATTCGGGCTGCCGTCCTTCGTGTCTCAGTGCTACTGCGGCTTTGTTGGCAGCTGGGCCCAAACAAGTCTAGTTCTTGTGAAGCCTCGCATTGTCGTGCACCGGAGTCAGTGAACTAAGGCCCCGATGGAGCAGGTTGCGGGCCCGATGATGGCACGGCCTGCTGGTGCAAGTGCTGCTGCCATCATGTGGCAGGTGGTGCCCTTTTTGGCATGGAGTAGATTCAGGGGCCATGTAGACGAAGAGTAAGATGGAGGCTATGTTGACCGACCTCCCGGTCTGCAGGATGAGGCTAGCAGCTAGCTGAGGTAGCTGTCGCTACCGCATGACAGAGATGGAGGCGATGGATGAGCTTTCCTCGCATGCTGTCGGAGTTGTTTGGTTCGCATGAAGAGCCTCCAGCAGTTTGCACTGTCTCGACATCTCGAGCAGAGGAATCGACCAGCGATGCCTCAACGAGCCAAGGCTTCCATCGGTGCGATGAGCATGGGCACCCTCGGGGCAATGCTCACAGTCCTCGTGGCTTGAACTTTCTGTACAGTTCTACTAATGCCCTGAGTTCTAATTTTCTGCTTGCAGAGTGATCGGCTGAGCCAGAGCCACCCGAGCACTGGTGATGGTCAAGCGCGTCTGCGAGCAGACTCGAACGGATCTCTGTTCGAGTTAGTACTCTTTAACTGTCTAGGAGTTTTGTTTGACGGCAAACGCCGCCAATGTGAACCAAGTGAGCCGTGGAGTTGTGGCAACTCAGCAAAGACGCGCGCGCCCTCCGCGACTCGCCTGGGCTCCTTTATCTGGGCCTTGCCCTCGGCGCCAGAAGCTTGACTTACCGGAGCGCCTCGCCCAAGGAAAAGATTTGAAAGCTGGCTTTGTTTTGGGGGCTGTTTTGGACAGCAAGGCGAGGGCGTGTGCGTGCCAGGCGGCGGTGCGCTGCCGACAGGCTCTGTTGAAGCGGCTTCGCGATGGCGACTGGCAAGCACAGGCCACATATCAGAGTCTAGCTGTCCTGCGAGGGACTTTCGAGCAGCGGCCTTGAGAACTTAGAGTTTGGGGTGTTAGGCACTGGGCTTGTGTTCTTGGTTGAGGGTTCAGCGTCCCCTTCACCACAAAATAAGCCCCAAAACCCGAACCCCCCTAAACCCTCAACCCCGGCCCGTGCCATTGCACACTGCGGCAGGATGTCCCAGAAGCGACGCCAGCAGAGCACACGCCTTAGGATGCCTACAGCTTGCTATTAAGGTCAGATTGCATGTTATGGGGATGACGCAGAATCGCAGAAACAACCGAGAACATGTCTTCCAAGAACCCGTCGGCTTTTTGACTGTTTGTGTCTTTGCGCAGGTGTGAAGAGGAGGAGCTCGTTGCAGAAGACGACCGTGTTGAGGGCACGATGCTCTACCTGCCCCCTGAGGCAGGCAACTCGTCTTAGTCCAGTGGGACATAGTGGTGCTATCTGCCGATGATTCCGTCTGTGTGTTGTGGAATTGGCCGTCTCAGACAAAGCTCCCTTCCAAGTAGAGACGGGCCCAAACGAATCTTTCATATTCAGCCGCTGCGCTCTGCCACATGAAGCACTGTCGGCATTAAAGGATTTGGGCTTCCTGAGTTCTGATGCAGTATATTTTGATGACACTGAAATATCCGCCGGATTCCCTCACATGACCAGTCATCCGGCAGAAAGGTGTAGCTTGCTGAAACTGGAAGCCAATAAGTTCACCACCTTGTGGCTGTTCTAATTTCGGCTCAGGCATCAGAGCTTTGCAGGGTGCTTTCGGGATGTTCCCAAAGAGCTGCTTCCATCCTGTAAAGTCAGCGAAGGTGGGATCCTTTAGAGTTCATTGCGCAAGCAAGGGCATAAGTGTACGGTTCGATTGGTGATGTGCCGGCTCTTGGCAGACGGCAGCACGTATTCCCTTTCTCAGTGGCATGGCGGACTTTCAGCAGTTTCTGTCCCATGGGCTGTTGAGTTTCCTCTGCCCAAAAACTTGTACGTCAGTGATGCGTCTGGATTTCGAGTGTGCGCGGCACCTGCTCCTCCACGAGCATGGCTTTTTCTCCATGCAGGCCTCAATTCCACCAAACGCTCTGTCTCTTGAAGACGTGACGCTCGTGGAAGGAGACCACAGTGGGTACTGGCAGGAGCTACAAGCAGTTTTGAATTCTCATTCGGTCGGTCTGCCGATCGCAGGGACACACTCCGTCGCAAGTCTCATCAAAATAGCTTCCACGTCAGGGAAGGAACCTGCGCGAGAGCTAGTTTTCCAGATGGCTGCCGTAGCAGAGAAAGACCGGGGGAACAGCTTCTTCAAAGCCTGCAGCCACGAAAAAGCCCTTGCCTCGTACTCCAGGGCGATGGCATTACTTGGCCTGCTATCGGGAAAGATTATTGCTGATGGTACGACAGAGGCCTCAGCAAGTTTAGATTTGTCAGTTTCTCTGTGCAACAATCGCAGCCTGTGTTTCCTGAAACTGGGCCGCACGCTTCCTGCCATGAAAGACGCAGAGAAGGCGTTGGGGATGCTGGGAGGTCACGGCAAGAACATCGCGGCTTGGAGCAAGGCCATGCATCGGCTCGCAAGTGCCTGCACCAGAGCCGGGCTCTTCAAGGAAGCCGGCGCACGCCTGGACACCATCGAGAAAGCTACACGAAGCCGGGCCGCGACAGCAGAACTCAGGCAGGTGCTGCGGAGTTTGAGAGAAAACTGTTCAGTTGCTTGCTCCGGCCACAAATTCTTGCTGGACCACCTGAAGGAGCGGCGCGCTGGCCTTTCGGAGGCTCTGGACGCTTCCGACGTCGCAGAAGCATGGTTCGTCATCCGCGAACACTTCGCGAGCTTCCCCCTTCTCTTCCTGCTGGATATGCCAGAGCTGCGCCAGCGATGCCGTAAGCTTCCAGGAAAGATGCTGAACCTCATGGCAATGATCCAGCGCAGCCAAGACCCTCTGAACCCATATACCGGAGGGAAGATGACAGAATTCAACGTGGAGAAGCTCCGCTCCATGATCGAAGGTGCTTACCTCCAAACTGAGAACGAGCGGAAGCGACGGCAGTCGCTGCTGGAGCTAGCAAATTCCACCAAGAGGGCATTCCCAGCCGAGCAGATTGCTGAGGAGCTGGGCGTTGACTTGGAGGAGCATCCAGACAAGGAGGAGGTCCATCAGCAGCTCATTTTGTTGATGCGGTGGGTCCTTGCATACTTGGAGCTAGATGACTTTCAATTCGATGCAGCTCGCGAGTCCTTGCACCGGCTGATCTTCCACGTCACCGTGCACCCCAAGGCGGCCAAGTATTTCCCAGACCACATCAACCGCCTGAAGAGCCCCATGAGGACGGACTTTAAGAACCCGTATGTGGGCAGCCAGGAGCTGGACATCGTTCCCTTCCCCAAGTGGTACCTGGCTGAGTTGCTTCATCTCCTCGCTGTCTGTGAATGCGGGCGGGGAGATTGGCGTAGCTGTGGGTCCGCCATCGAAACTTACTTCGATCTCGTGCCCAAAAGCTTTCGGGACAGGAACTGGGAGAGCGCCCTGTTCCTCCGCGCATGGGCAGACCTGCAGCCTTTACAGCTCGAGCGCGATTCGGAGGAGTTCCACCGAATCCGGGAGAAGCGCCTGGAACGCCTGTTGAAGGAGACGACCCCAGTGTGGAAGGAGCTGCAAGGCTTGTACGGGAAGGATTTCGCTGCCGCCTTCGAGACCGAGACTTGGGTGGAAGCGCGTTTCTACACTGACCTAGGCTTCAGCCTCCCAGGCTCCTTCCAAGACATCCAAGACCAGCTGCAAAGGCATCAAGACAAGATGCCCAAACTCGCAGAGGATGACCCCTTCAGCTGCAGCCTGGAGACCTTCGTGGGGAGAGCCCAGGGTGTGACGGTTCGCTTCCGGACGTCCCTGGAGGAGAAGGCCCGGCAGGCGCAGAGAGGCAGAGGCCCTAGCAGATACGGTGCCTTCGCCATGCCGGATGTGGAGAACGAGCTCTACGAGATGCAGCAGAACCTGTTTGCTTCGGTCATGGGTGGCTTTGGCCTCAACGGCCTTGGCAAGCGAATCAGACTCAGACGGCGAAGGAGAGGAGGAAGAGGAAGAGGAAGAGGAAGAGGAAGAGGAAGAGGAAGAGGAAGAGGAAGAGGAAGAGGAAGAGGATAAACAAACCGAAGTCCTTCCTGGTAAGGCCCCGAAGCAACCCGAAGCCAAAGATGCGGA